TATGTGTATATATATATATATATATATGTGTATATATATATATATATATATATGTGTATATATATATATATATATATATATACACACACAATACACTAATAATAATAATAACTGAAGAATTACTAAAAAGCATTTAAAACATAGGGTCACAGAACACAAAACACTAGCTCAATTTACATTGTGAAATGCCTGCGAGAACAGATGTGCTTTAAGCAGGGATTTGAAGTGAGGAAGGGAGGTGGCCTGCCTGATGTTGGGGGGGCAGATTGTTCCAGAGTTTGGGCCCCATGACTGAAAAAGCCCGATCTCGTCTGAGCTTCAGTCTTGTTTTTGGAACAGCCAAAAGCAGCTGATCGGATGATCTCAGGGCCCGAGAGGGAAAGTAAGGTTCCAGAAGCTCAGTGAGGTAAAGAGGTGCGAGGCCATTTAAGCATTTGTAGGTCAACAGAAGAATTTTAAAGACTATCCTCGTACGAACATGGAGCCAGTGAAGGGAGGACAGAACTGGAGTAATATGTTCAGACCTACGAGTTCCGGTTAAAACCCGAGCAGCAGCATTCTGGACGAGCTGAAGACATGCGATGGAGGCCTGGCTGATCCTAGCATACAGTGCATTGCAATAGTCTAATCGGGTTGTGACAAAGGCATGGACTAGTTTCTCAGAAGCCATCATTGGGATTGTGTAAGGAAACTCAGTTCTCAAACCTTAGATTTACCAAAATATTGAACAAATCCATCCATCCATTATCTTCCACTTATTTCGAAGTCTGGTGGCGAGGGCAGTAGCTTGTGCAGGGAGACCCAGACATCTCTTTTCACAGCCACCTCTTCCAGCTCTTCTGGTAGGATTCTAATGTGTTCCCAGGCCAACCGAGAGCCATAGTCTCTCCAGCGTATCCTGGGTCTTTCCCGGGGTTTCCTCCCAGTTGGACATGCCCGAAGCACCTCTCTAGGGAGACGCCATGGGGGCATCCTTACCAGATGCCCAAACCACCTCAACTGGCTCCTTAAGATGTGGAGGAGTAGCGGTTCTACTCCAAGTCTCTCCCAAATAACTGAACTTCTCACCCTATCGCTAAGGGAGAGTCCAACTACCCTGTGGAGAAAACTCATTTCAACTGCCTGTATCCGCGATCTCATTCTTTCGGTCACTGCCCAGAGCTCATGACCATAGGTGAGGGTAGGAACATAGACCGACAGGTAAACAGAGAGCTTTGCCTTACAGCTCAACTCTCTCTTCACCACAACAGACCGGTACAGAGTCCGCAATACTGCTGATTCTGCACCAATCCATCTGTCAATATCACGCTCCATTCTTCCCTCACTCGTGAACAAAACCCTGATATACTTGAACTTCTCCACTTGAGGCAGAACCTCATCCTCGACCTGAAGAGAGCAATCCACCTTTCTCCGGTTGAGGACCATGGCCTCAGATTTGGAGGTGCTAATTTTCATCCCAGCCGCTTCACACTCGGCTGCGAACCGCTCCAGTGCGAGTTGAAGATCACGGCACGATGACGTCAACAGGACCACATCATCTGCAAAGAGCAGAGATGGAATCCTGAGGCCACCGAACCAGAAACTCTCCGCCAGCTGGCTGCACTGAGAAATTTTGTCCATAAAAGTTATGAACAAAATCTGTGACAACGGGCAGCCCTGGCAGAGTCCAACTCCCACCCTGAAAGGGTCCGACTTACTGCCTGCACTGCAAACCAAACTCTCGCACCGCTTGTATAGGGACTGAACAGCCCGCAACAACGGGCCTCCAATCCCATACTCACGGAGCATCCCCCACAGTGTACCCCAAGGAACACGGTCAAATGCCTTCTTCAAGTCCACAAAACACATGTAGACTGGATGGGCAAACTCCCATGACCCCTCAAGGATCCTAGTGAGGGTAAAGAGCTGATACAGTGTTCCACAGCCAGGATGGAACCCACATTGTTCCTCCTGGATCTAAGGTTCGACCAACGATCGGACTTGCTTCTCCAGTACCCCCTGAATAGACCTTACCAGGGAGGCTAAGGAGAGTGATGCCCTTATAATTGGAGCACATTCTCCAGTCCCCCTTTTTGAAGAGGGGAACCACCACCCCAGTCTGCCAGTCCAGTGGCACTGCCCCCGACGTCCACGCGACATTGCAAAGGCGTGTCAGCCAAGACAGCCCCACAACATCCAGAGCCTTAAGGAAATCAGGGTGAATCTCATCCACTCCCGGAGCCCTGCTGCCTCGGAGCTTTTTAACTACCTCGGCGACCTCAGCCACGGTTATAGACAGATCAACCCCAAAGTCTTCCGACTCCGCTTCCTCCATGGAAGACGTGCTGGTGGGATTGAGAAGGTCCGAGAAGTATTCCTTCCACCTCCCGATGACATTACTGGTTGAGGTCAACAGCACCCCACCTTCACTGAACACAGTGTTTGTAAAGTAAATGGTAAATGGACTGTACTTATATAGCGCCTTTCTATCTTATTGAGATACTCAAAGCGCTTTACACTACTATCTGTGCCCTCATTTACCCATTCATACAGCACTCTACTAGATCTCTACAAAGCTAATTGAACAAATCATTCTAAAGAGACTAATCAGTGCTTTAGATCACATTCATACACCGATGGGACACACATCAGAGGCAATGAGGGGTTCAGTGTCTTGTCTGGGGACACTTCAGCATGTGACTGCTGTGGGGTTCGAACCTCCAACTCTTGCATTGGAGGACAACTGCTCTAACCACTCAGCCACAGCCGCCCAGTGCTGCTTTCCCCTCCTCAGCTGCCTGATGGTTTGCCAGAATCTCCTCGGAGCTGACTGAGAGTCTCTATCCAAGGTCTTACTGAACTCTTCCCACATCCGACCTTTTGCCTCAGCAACAGCCAAGCCTGCACACCTTTTGGCCCTCCGGCACTTCTCAGCTGCCTCCAGAGTCCCACTGGCCAACATGGCCCGATAGGACTTCTTCTTCAGCTTGACAGCCTCCCTAACCCGGGGTGTCCACCACTGAGTTCGTGGATGATGTAGATGAACATATCCTGAGATATTCACCTGATTAAAACGGATTCTTTCATTTTTCTGGACTGAATATAAACGTGCATTGAATTTAATAAAATGTAACGTGAGACGTTATTTATCTTTGACCCATCAAAATGAATGTGGGCATTTATTTACAGAATCAAAGTTTAACATCAAACATTTACATTAATTTGGCAAAATATGAAAATAACAACATAATTAATCAGCTTTACAGGTAGTGAGAAACAATATGGCGATTGTTTCACTTTTCAGCAGAACAGCAGACATCAAATCCCACGGCGGTGATTGAGAACTTTGCTTCAGACATTTCTAAAAATATCGGTCAATGATTTCTACTTGATAGAAGAATTTTTAAAAATGGAAAGATGAAGTTTAGTGGGAGTGAAAGATGGCTGAGGGAGAATGTGGTGTGTATGAGTGAAAAGTGTTGACAGGACGACACCCTCCATCCGACCCAGCTTTCCTCGGTACGCTCAGTAGTGGACTAGGCTCATTTACCTCTCTGACGATGAATCAGCGGAAGAGGAGCTCCAGTTAACGCTACCTTTCAGCGTCTCCGTAGGATGGCAGAGATACGTCCGGAGTGGTGACGGGACTTCGTCAACAACAGTTCACCTCAACGAGTGGACCTCACATGAGTGGGGTTCGTCCGAGTTTCACTCAGAGGTGGAAGATGTTATAATCCCAAACTCGGAAGAGCCTTATCATGGCTGGACTTCTGTTCTCCCAAACGACTGGAGCTGCAAACTCTCCAGCCCGACTCCAACGGCAACTCACAGAACAACGACTTCACAGAACTGCGATCATCTGAGAGAACTAGGAAGTACCGACATTTTAAAGAGCTCTATTTCCGGTCCATTTGGGAGTTTC